CAGAAAAGCGCGAGTTTGCGGACCGCCTACCCTCGGCGGTTATTTGAGCTGAGGACATGTGCTCACGCATCGATCAATCATGGATTGCAACTGCACCCATGCAGTTACATCTCCTCCTCGGTGGCGAGCCGGGGGGATAAATAATGCGAAACTCGTCCACGCCCTCAAGACGGGGTCCTCAGGAATTGGGTTTTTTTGAGGGTTTTGGACAATTTGAATTCTATAACTAATTCTTAAAGGCTATTCACACCATGGTTGCAGCATGACTATTCACACTTCCTCAATTATACTCATACCTATAAACCTACATAGAGTGGGCTGTAGTTTTACTTTTGCAGCAAAGTTTGATTTTCGAAAAACCAGCACTTATTCTTTATCTTATCATTTACTGCAAATTAGTAATCCTGTTGAACTAATATATTCGTTAGGCGCATCATTGATTGCATAAATAAATAAATAAATAACGTGATTAGGGCCACGGAAAGGCCCTGGAACGACAAAAACATGAGAGGCGAAATTTTGCCCGAACGCTGCATTTAAAGGCAGCGGCTCGGCAGAATGACAACTTTGGGATATTAATCGTTCTCGTTTCTCCTAAATGAGCTAAGTCCAAGACTGTGCTTTGCAGCTTCAAACTATATCAATAATCCGCTTTTCCAGACGTGAAAAGCGCTATTTGAGGGCGGACCGCGCATCCCCCCCCTAGAGCGTGATTAGTTCGTGGGTACGGTGGGCACAGTATCTCCACTCAGGCGGCGTGGCAGGAGTTCCCAAAGCCTGACCGCTTCTCCTCGCAGGGGTACTTGACACCTCCAGAAATCCCTTGAAGGACATCACACCTTCTCGGGGCCAACGGCTCCGCCCATCACTCCTCCCTTTAGATCCTCTCATTTTGCAATGTTTACAGCATGAGGATAATAGAACTGAAATCAACTGAAATTGAGAAACAGAGAAAATTCCAGGGTTCTTTAGTTTTAGAATCCGTATAGATGACTGCACTGAATTCCAGCATTTCGGATTATGTTTTACTCATGTTTTCGATTGAAATGACGCTTCCTTAAAAACTTTTAAGTGCTCGCGCTTGAGTAAATTTGTGAAGCATATCATAGTAATGTGAATCAAGCAGAGGTTATGAGTCTTCCCATACGGTATATAACAAAGAAATTAGTCAATTTCACGCAAGTTGTAATCATCTAAGTAAGAATATAGCGAATTACATATATTGCAAATTTAGTGTCGCACTTGGAACTCTTAGCTAACTTTTCGATTGTCGACGAAGGTTTCTATTCTACGTCGATGTAGGAAATACTACACTTGAAAATTTTCCTTGATAATTCGGATCTCATTGATCATTAGAAGAGCTGGAATGAAAAAACTTATGAATATATGTGGCAGACGAAAATAGAAAAGTTTATGCGTTAATATCCTAACTGTTGGAGAAAGCGTTCAGTTGCTTACTCGGAGACTTTGGTATACTCGTTTCGAAATCGGTCCTTCTAATGTCGAGAACGTAACGGGTTCTCAAACTCCTGATGCTAAATTACTCCAATCAGATGACCGGTAATGTGCAATTAATTGATCAACTAGGTCATCCAATATTTTGAATGACTGAATTTTCTAATCAAAAATTCTGTGCAATTTTCCCTTTCTGAAAATAATTTTCAGAAGTTTTTTTCAAAGGATGGCGTAGCAGAGGTTTCCAAGCCGCCTCACCTGGGAAATGATAACTATGATAACTATGTTCTTCGTTTTTTCCCCATTTCTCCATTACCTCAGTATCTTAATCTACGTTCTCGCTGCTTGCACACCTCACAATGAGACCGATAATTGGGTGGAGCAACGGGCGGAGCCTGACCTCTAAGGCACGGAGGTGCTAGAACCCTCCTGGGTGTGAATGCTGGTGCGAGGTTGGTGCGAGGAAAGGTGCCAGGAACTCCTGCACGCCCTCCCTCCACTCACGAGCCAATCGCGCTCTAGAGGGCAGACACGGTCCGCCCTCAAATAACGCTTTTCACATCTGGAAAAGCGGGTTCTTGATATATTTGAAGCTGCAAAGCACAGTCTTGGACTTAGCTCATCCAGGAGAACCGAGAAGATGAATATCCCAAAGTTGTCATTCTGCCGAGCCGCTGCCTTCAAGGGACCCGTCATACTTCGCCGAGAAAAGCTCAAAGGCGCTCAAAAAAGCCCAAAAAGCCTGAAAAAGCCCAAAAAGCCGGAGAAAACCTGAAAGACCCGGAACGCAGGAACAAATTTTTGTAGAGTTCTGACATTATTTTGATGTGCAGGCGATAGAAAATGAAGCAAACAGACTCGGTTGCGAAACTAACACACATGCCTTAGGCTTGATACATACCTCGCTGCTTAGGTATGGACAAAATGTGCGAGCAGCGAGAGCAGCGCTGCTTGAGCTGAGCAGCGCTGCAAGGAACGAAGGATTGCTGCCCCGCAACACCTCAAAACACGCGCTGCGTCCTAACTAGGGCGCGATAAATGCCTCAATACATAATTATCGTTTGCCCTTGTTTTATGGGGTCACTTGCGCCTCAGTTCGTTTATCACTTGATTATTTTATGCATATGTGTTGGTCGTGTGACGTCGACTTGCTTCTTTTTCTTTCATTGCATTATTTTTCAATTTTTTTTGACAAAAATTGAAAAAAAAGGAAGAAAACTATCCAAAACACGCAAATTTCAAAAAAAATGAGTTCAAAAACACATAAAATCAGCTGTTGCAGCTCAAAGCAGCTGAGATCAGCTCAGAGCAGCTGAGATACGCTCAGAAAAAGTGAGCGTAACTCAGCTGCAAAATCCAGTTGCAGCGCTGCTCAGCTTGAGCAGCGCTGCGCAGCGCTGCTCAGAATTGAGACGCTAGGTATGGACATGACCTTTCACGTTAGCTGCTGCAGCGCTAAGCAGCGGCGTCACTCCGCTGCAATCAATACGCACTAAAAGCGTTGCTGCCACCGCTACGTATGGACACCCGCCGCCAGGTATGTTTTAAGCCTTAGCGTCAAAACGTAGGACGCGTTTCGACTTTTTCGGGCTTATTTGGGCTTTTTGGGCTTTTTCGGCGAAGTATGACGGGCCTCGGACAGAGCTCACGCAATTTGATTGTCGCGATTTAATCGCCGCGATTTTTATTCTTTTTCATTTTATATTCAGAAATCTCGAGTTGTAAAAGTATCACAACCGAAATGCAAGCTGATCGGCATGCAATGAGCTCTAAGGCCTCGGGCATACCTCACGCGATTTGGCAATACTCCAGATGTTCATAACTCATCGAACGGGGTTTCTGAATGTACGGAAAAGGGGGCATTTTATCAACCTACGAAATTATACATGCTATGCATTTAAGGTCTTCCAGTATTGAATTTGAAGACATATGGCAAATTGCCAGATCGTGTGGCGACTGAAATCGCGTGAGGTATCGTCAAGTCATTCGTAACTTAATATGCGTAATGCACACTATACACGCTAACTGACGAACTGCAAAACTAGAACCTGCCCACTCCCGGTGATTTCTCCTTGTTTCCTTGTCTCTTTTGTTTCTGCTGATTATATGTTACTCAATAGAACACATTTCCACACTTTGTCGGGCTAGAAGATGTTTCACCGGAAACTTACCAGTAAGGATGTCGTCGCTAATAGGACTTAGTGTGCACTCTCACATATTAAGTTACAAATGACTCGCGGTTATGTCCCTTGCCTAACAGTTGTCTTGTTGCGATTGAATCGCGACGATCGAATCGCGTGGTGTCCGAGGCCTAAGACTTGTCGTTCATTCTGTGACCAAGAAACGCGAGCGCCCTTCCGCAATGGTGTGTTTTGGAAAACTAGTATTATAATTCGTGCAAGAACATGTTCAAGCTTGTCGAACGCGAATTGAACCCGTTCTTTCATGAATTCTCAATAGTAATTTATCAGAACGCGTTCTAACGCGCTCTATGATTTTCCCACCACTTGCGGTAAGGCGGAGTTAAGCCTGGAAAGTAACATAGAGATCACGCCTGCAAGAGAGGTGCAGAGCCTAATCGAGCCGGTCGCGCGGTACCCCTCCAACATTCGTCGTTCCCAATATCACTGATTTTACTGATTCACTGACTTTACTGATTTCGCTTTTATTGATTTTTTGCAAATTTTGAGCAACCGGGCGTTGAGAGGGGGTAAGTGAGCATGCCGATTACGAATACGACATTATTTTTCACGATTGCCTTTATTTTGATGATTGCCTTCATCAATTGCATCCATTTTTCGCAAAGTTGGAGCTAGGGCTGGGATTTGGCACAGCGGATAAGTGAGCATTCTTATTAAGATTTAAGTAATAGTTTTTATAGTCATCGAATACCTTTAACGATATATTTGGGCTGAGGGGATGGATATTGGCACATATCATCCCTTCTCTGATTGAACACGAGTACATCTGCATACTTTTGATTAACAAGGCGTTTTAACACTTTCTGGTAAACTACTATTGGGATTTCGAAAAACATGTTTGAGCTCGTTCAACGCGAGTTTGAACATGCTCTTTCACGAGTTCCTATAAGTAATTCACCAAAACTCATTGAAACGCACTCTTATACCGTTACACATACGTACGCAAAGCGCGCTTGTTTCTCTTTGTCGAAGAATAAATAATATGCTTAACGCGCGCAGTATTTCACCGTGCTCCGATATGGCAGTTTGCAGGCATATCTCCTGTCTTTGGCAGTTCCGGCGAGCGGGTTCGGGCGTGTTCAGGCGGATTCGGACTATTTGGGCGGGTGCGAGCGAATTCGGGCGGGTACCGGCGCGGTCTGAACAATGCTTTAGAAAACCATCGAAGGTGCGTCTTGTACTCGTGAAAATAAGCTAGTACAAAATCCCAAGCTGCAAGATTTTCCGAAATCCGATAATTATCTTGTGAAGTTAGCGTTTGTATGCCCATGCGTTGATGAATTACTTTTACTATTTTTGTTTCGTTCGTGATCTAAGAGCACCTTGCACTGCTACATCTTTCAGATTTTCTATTGAGCAATAATCATGTGAATTCTATTATTACGCACAATTTTGATTTCAACAATGAGGAGATCATGGCATACTACATTTCCTTCATGAAAACTCTGTCCTTTAAGTTAAATCCTTCAACTATCCACTTCTTTTTCAATGAGGTGAGAGTTTTCCTTTTTCATATTGTAATGTTTCATGCAAACGGTTTTTCCAAGTTCTGTTATACTATTAGGTTGTCCGAAAATTATTGCAGGTTTTGAATTCCAACCGCAATAAGTCATACACTTCTCATTTCTAAGTAGGTTGCAAGACATTGATAGAACAAAGCAACCTTTACAAGATGGCTACCTTGCTTTAGCAACAGCTTTGATCCACCACGAGTTTCGAGTCAAAAACTAAAAACATTCAGCTGTCCGAAAAATTGAAATCGTAACTCAGTTCATAAAATTCCCACAAGAATTCTAACTTGCTCACGTAAACACAATCCACATAGGGCATCTATATACGCCGTTGCCTATCTTCTTCTCTATTAGAAATCAAGAAAACGGAAATTTTGTGCATTTGCCGAAGTGGTGCGCTGCCGTTCCCACATAAGTGGTTGTATACTACAAACCTGTAGTAGTACAAACGTGATTTTCCAGCTCCCTATAAGCTTTAGTTCTCGAGAAATGTCGAATACAGTTTTCCCTAGTCATGTGGTCCAAGCTAAAATCCAAAATTGTTCGAGAACTAAAGCTTGTAGGGAGCTGAAAATTTACGTTTGTACTAATACGGGTTTGTAGTATATAACTACTTATGTGGAAACGGCAGAGCACCACTTTGGCAAATGCACGAAAATTTCCGTTTTGTTGATTTCTAACAAAGAAAAAATACGAAAACGGCGTATATAGATGCTTTATGTGGATTGTGTTTACGAGAGCAAGTTAGAATTTTTGTAGGATTTTTAGAAACTGAGTTACAATTTTTCTCAATTTTTCGGACAGCTGAATGTTTTTAGTTTTTGGTTCGAAACTCGTGGTGGATCAAAGCTGTTGCTAAAGCAAGATAGCCATCTTGTAGAGGTTGCTTTGTTCTATCAAATGTTGTCTTGCAACCTACTTAGAAATCAGAAGTGTATGACTTATTGCGGTTGGAATTCAAAACCTGCATTAATTTCCGGACAACCTAATAGAACTCAAGCTGTCATTTGCATGATTGGGAAAATCTATCACCTGTATATTTTAGGCTACGGAAGAGTTTCCACTTCTAACGGAATCCTTAAAATTCTTTGACTCTAGTGAGAGCATGGTTAGAATCGCTGTACGGAATATCGTTTTGAATATTGTCAGAGTGAATGATGCAGCCATGTCGCATTTCGTCAAAGGAGCAACTAAGGTGGCTCAAGGAGTCAACCATATCTACATAAATGACTTGCATCTTATTCAGCTCTCACTTGGTTCCTTATTTCAGGCGTACTTGTATAACTTAGTCGACAACCTTGTCTCGCAGGCCATTGAGTTGGATACTTTCGTTCGCTCGGCAGAAAATGTAATTGCTAACAGAGAGAGATTGAGGGATAAGGTACTCTAACCTTAATTTTTCATAGAGCTACCATTTGATTCAACTGGCTTGGCATCGGCAAAGGAGGGGCCCCTTGACCTAATTAAGGCTAGGTAATGATCAGAGAGCACTCGCACGAGAGAGACGCAGATGCGTCGCGGGCGCGAGCGGTCTCAATTAGATCACAAAACCCCGCCCTAATGGTGCCAAGCCAGTCGAATCAAAGGTTACATAAATGTCTCAAGTCTAATCAGGTTGACGATCTTGTGGATCTTTTGCACTACATCGGAGAACTGCTGGACGTTGAATCTACGACTGAATTGTTGTCCGAATTAGTCTCTTCTCGTTTTCTGGTACCTCTCCTCCTCAACAGCTTAGCTCCGCGACGGCACAATCATGCATTATTGCTCACACCAGTTTCTAGTTTCTTCTTCTTTGCTGAATTCCTGTTGGTAAGTTTTCATCCATTGTTTTATGCGCAACTCGTAAATCATTTGCAGGTGATATCTCATCATGATACTATTCAAACATTTCTCTCTGCTTTCCTGTTTGAAGATGCCTCTATACTAGGATCTCACTGGGTTAGAGATGGTGATACATATAGTCTGCAGCCTACGGAACGACCTCCACGAAGTAATAACAGGTCGGTTATGTGGTTATCGTGAATTGTAGTATTATTTTTTGCTTTCTAGAGTGTTTTTCGACGCCTTGTTATGTGCTTTCGATTCAAGTCAAAATGATGATTATCTGTCATTTTATGGATTGATGTTAATCTACGCCATGTTTCAAAACAATGGTTTGTTCATTATCTTGCTTTATTAATGCTTTGCGTCCTTTGTTACTAACTTTGTCATTCCATCTGCTGCCTTTCAGAAAGTGAGTTTGAATATCAGTGAAATGTGCTTGTTGTGTCGTGTATGTTTTTTGTATGTGTCTAGGTAAATTAGAGTTTGAGGTTTCGTGCACTAAACCCTCAAGTTTCGCCAATAATTAGAATTTGCGCGCTGTGCTTTTTCATCGGCTGGAGTAAGATGGTTGAGGCGCCTTTTCCAAGAAAGCTGTAAATCAGCACATTCCGTTTTTCCAGTGCTTGAAGTCTTACGTGGCAAAAAAGTTGGGCAGCTAAATCAGTTCGGACCTGTCTATCAAATGAATGAAGCACCATTGTCTCGTTTTTCAAAGCTGTGCTTCAAGATAATACAGTTCTGATGTTATGTGCAATTCAGGCAATGTTGGTGAACTTCTTTCCGCTGCTAATCTGCCGGCTGTGAATTTTGATCCATTAGAGGCAACGCATAACAAACCAAGTGTACCAAGTGTGAGTAGCTCACAACCTCTCCTTGTGCTGCCTTTTCATTTACAGTGGGCAGTCTGGAGACTTCCTTATGTTAGGTTTCTTCTCTGGATTCCTTCGAATCTTCGGTGTCGTGCGACGAAAGAGTGATTGAAGCGCTCCTATCAGTAGTAGATGCCGCGGGAAATGAAGACAGCCGCCTTCGTCCCATAACATTGGAGCTGGCTTGCCTAGTATTGAGGCAAATACTTCTGGTTGTAGATCACGATCAGGTAAACGCGGACGAATCCTCTAGTCCCTTGTTAGTTCACTAGAATTGTTCAAGTTAGTCATAGCAATTTTTGTTCCAGATGCATTCGGTGATCGCAAACAAGGCCTCTCATATTGTCTCTTGCTTCGTTGATCGACTGGGGTTATATGTGAATTCAGAAAATCTGTTTCTTGAATGGTTTGAAGACGAATACGCAGAATTTGAGGTTTGCATAACCAGCAGCGCACAATTCGAACTGATTTGGTCCTTGCAGTAGGCAAATTTCCACCTTTACCACGCATTTACAGATCAATCACATTAAACTCGAAACTATCGGATACGAGCTGTTGCTACCTCCATGCAACACGGTGATGTCCGGTCTAGCTTTACACAAAAGGTTGCCAGGTGGCTTTGAGGAGAGAATCCGAACGGTGTGCAAGAATACCGCTGCTTTCTTCCAGCAGTTTGTGCTTTCCTTTAGATCATCCAGTTTTACCTCCACATCCGCAAGTTAGCGAAGGACATGTCAGGTGAAGCAGAAACAGAGCTACCGCTGAAGGTGGGAAATAACGTAGCGGTTGAAATCGGAGATTGCATAAACTTGAGTGAGTATTGTTTCATAATACCTGTCAACAAAAATTTTTGAACAATGAATATGCTGCAGATAATTCTGACCTTCTCTCTTGCATTGTTGTTGTGAACAAGAGTGAACGTCTTTCGCGATTTTTGGTCACTGATCGTCTGCAGCTGATCTTGGTAGAGCCAGATAGTCGTAAAGCAGGCTGGGCCATTGTGCGATTTGTTGGACTACTGCAGGTTCGCTAATTTTTCACGCTGTTGTACAGTGGCTCCTACAAATTCAGCACATCTATCTTCGAATGTTTTCAGGACACTCAAATCACAGGCGACCCCTCTGACAGCAGGTCTTTACATATTGTTGTTGAGGGACAGCCTACAAGGCAAAGAGTGAGTCTCGTCTTTCTTTCTTGTGATCTTTCTTGTGACGTCGATGATTGTTGAACACTGCAGAAACGGCAAGCTTTGCTTACTGCTCGTTTTGTATTTGACGACCACATCCGCTGCATGGCTGCAAAGCAAAGATTGACTAAGGTAATGCATTGTCTCCTTCTTCTTCTGAATTTTTTTTTTCATCAAAAAACGGGGAGACATATAGATTACACCTCTTTCTGTTATGTTATTCAGTTAGGTATAAGGTCCTGGCCAAACTTCGCTCAAAAGCGCCCAAAAGCACTGAAACTTCTCTAACCACTGCTCACTCTCTCTCTTCTCTCCTTACATGAGGAAGTGCAGAGACACCAGGAAATTTGGGCGCTTTTGAGCGCTTTTGGGCTCTTTTGAGCGAAGTCTGGCCAGGGCCTAAGAGTTAGTTTTAGGGACGGCAAACTGCGAGAGGCTTGAAACTGCAGGCTATCTGTGATCTACTTGGTGTGCCACGAATAGGGTCGGCGTCTCCACGAGCTAATCCGTTTAGGATTGTAAAAGGATGTGCACCTGGAAGTGTGAGGAAGCAGGTGCGCGAAACCTAGGTTTTATCTATATATTGTCTCTGTTGTACTTTTCTTAGGTTTGCCTTATCAGTCTGCATTGAAAAGAAGGCAGATTTTACTGTATTGCTTACTATTAGTCTAACACCTACTACAGTATTTTTTCAGTTTGGTTTCACAGCTGTGACATCAAAATCATCGCACGGTTCCACTAATTCAATCCCAGATGATCCGCAGCCACGGCCGTCGTCAAGTTCTTCCGGTGCTGTGAAACATGTGTGAAGCTGTTAAATAAACGATCAGGGTAGATATGTTAGTCCACACAACACTATATATACCTTATTTGTCAAAGATTTTTTCTTATAATTTTTGAAGAAGCTCCTTAGTATCTTAGTAACGGTGCCTGTTTGAAGGAACCTCTTCTAGAGTTGAATTCAGGTAGTTCTGAACGAATCATGTCTTTGGTTAGCAACAGTTGTACCAAGTACAAGGTGTATATCCCATAAAAACATTTTTTAGATGTGATGCCCAATGTACATATTGATGTAATGCTTATTGTACAGTTTTATCTGTTGTATTAGTCTGTTTTGAGTCCTCGCTATTTGAGGTTCTGACCGTGCTATGATTGGGAGTCGAGTTTGTTTTGAACTTTTTACAGTCTGTGCCAACCAGGTACTCCCTTTCCCGTACAATCGACGCGCCAAAGATTCACGGCCGTCCGCGCGTATACGACTTTCGATTTCGAAATGGCCTCATCGATCGGTGGTCTGCACGCAAGGCTCTTGCGTTGCCCATGCGTAGTTCCTACGCGAAAGGGAGTACGTAACTGACACTGTTTATATCATTTGATTCAACTGGCTTGGCACCGTTCGCGGGGCTTCGTGACTTTATTAAGGCTAGGTAATGTTGAGAGAGCACTCGCGCGAGAGAGACGCAAGTGCGTCGCGGGCGCGAACGGCCTCTTACGTCACAAAGCCCCGCCTCGACGGTGCCAAGCCAGTTGAATCAAAGATTAGGTCTCTCATAGTTGCGGCATACTGCATGGTACTCCTCTGTTTTTAATGTAATTTCTTAAACCGGTTATGTGTGAACATCGAATTATTTTATGCTAAGTAAGTAAAGACTTCGATTTCAAAGTCCACGAATAGCGGATAGTTTCGCTTATATATACCTTAGTCTTTTCTGATTTACAATATTATCCACTGTCATCGCTGTAGGATGACGGCAAGCATACAGTCTACTTCTTTTGACACAAAAGTACCATTATCCCGGCCTGACGTTGACATGCCGCCTTCAATTCTTGTTCTTGGTATGGCAGGTTCAGGGAAGACATCATTTGTCCAGGTGAGTTCATCTGAAAGTTCTCGCTTGAAAAGTTGAGTAGAATAATAATGTAAGTTTGAATGAACTATGTTGTCGCGCAAATACATACAGTCCGTGTCGATCATGTGCTCCCTTTTTTGTAAGCGCAATGAGCTTTGCGCTACGTTCGCGAGCGTATGGCTCGCCATTTAAATTGGCCTCATCGATTGGAGGTCCGCACGCAGGGCCCTTGTTGCGCATGCGTATAGTCGTTCTCACCCCACTAGTCGGTCGGTGGTCGAATTTAAATTCGAACTGGAGCAGGCCGGCCGCGGCAGAGCGCGGCAGACCGCCCCTCAGCCACCGCTTGACATGAGCTTTCCTCTTATCTTCGTGTTTCTTTGCTATCTCTCGTATTGCGGCAATGTTCTCAGGTTTTCAGATTTCGTACCGTTAACACTGTTTTGTGCAGTTGTGCCCGTTTGTTTTACATTTTTTCCAGGTAAACCGGAAGAAGGATGTGATTGGAGATTTTTGGATGATAAATCTCTTTTCCGGTAAGTGACATATACATAAATGTGATTCGATGAACTGTGTCAAGTTTCTCGTTAGAATGTGTACTCTAATCTATTTATTTTTGCGATAGGGCTGAAATTTCTCTCAAAAAATGTTTGTTCTAAAGAGTTAGCGGACGAAAAAATCTGAAAATCCGATTAAGAACATTGCCTCAATACAAGAGATAGCAAACAAACACGAAGGAAATAAGAATAAAGCTCTTGCAAGCTGTTGGCTGAGGGGCGGCGTGTGGCTCTGCCGCGGTCGGCCTGCTCCATTTCGAATTAAATTCGACCACCGACCGACTAGTGGGGTGAGGCACCCGCCATACTTGATCCGCTTGATCCACTTGATCCGCTTGATCCGCTTCATCGTTGGTCAATTCAGTGAACTGACCAATAGTGAAGTGGAGAAGTGGATCAAGCGGACAACCGCTTCGCTATTGCTCAATTCACTGAATCGACCAATGACGAAGCGGATCAAGTGGATTAAGCGGATCAAGTATGGCGGGTGCCTGAGGACGACTATAGTTCCCATGCGAAAGGGAGTACATAATTGACATTGACTGTAGGGTCTTTCCACCTAACTGGATTCGAGGAGCAGTACCAGTCAACATACACTAATGGCTTTTAGCGCTGTGGCATCGCCGCGATTTAACCAACATTACAGTTGCAGTTGCATAGACTTTTTTACCTTCAGGCTGGTATGCATGAAAGTTACGCTCGTTCTCGCTTCCCCAATCACTGCACCTCAGAGATTTTCGTGCAGTTTCTAAGCACAAATTTTCCAGAGGCTCACTGCGTTGTTGCATGCAAGGAAAAGGCCACCTTATGTGATAAATCTTGATCCAGCTACAGCAAATGTAAGACTGTATCTTCTACCTCATCCTTAATAGCTATTCTGTTCGCTTTCCAAGGTACCATATCCGGTCAACATCGATATAAGAGACACAGTAAAGTATAAGCAGATTATGAAGGATTACAGTCTCGGCCCAAACGGTGCTATCATCACGAGTTTGAATTTGATGTGCACAAGATTCGACCAGGTGGAAATTTCGAATCTACAATGGTTTTCAGCAGATTTTTTAGGTACTGACAATGATACGTCAGCGCTCCAATCAGTATAGCGCGTGCTTGATTGACACTCCCGGTCAGATTGAGGCGTTCACTTGGAGTGCAAGTGGCTCCATAATAACTGATTCTTTGGCTAGCAGCCATCCTACTGTAGGTCCATTAATTTATGCTGTCATACAGCAAGATTTATAGGCTTGTATACTGGATTTTGTGCCGATAGCACGGAGAAAGCGCTGCAGTGCATCACCATTGGGCATATTTTAGGTTGTCGTGTATGTGGTGGATTCCGCGAGAGCAACGAATCCGACAACTTTCATGTCAAATATGCTCTATGCCTGTTCTATTCTGTATAGGACAAAGTTGCCATTTATTGTCGTTTTCAATAAGGTTAGGCTCACGCACAACTATCTTATGCTCAGACTCTCAGTCGAGATGCTTCATTCGAAAGCAACTTATCTTTTTGGTGTTAGAATCGATTTTATGGAATAAGGCATGTAGGAGGAACACAATATGGCATTTCATTTTAGGCCGATATCGTATCTCCAGCATTTGCTCGTAGTTGGATGCGTGATTTTGAGCGGTTTGATCAAGCCTTACAAGAAAATCGTAGCTCTTACATGAATGATCTCAGTCGTTCCTTGTCCCTGGTCCTAGATGAATTCTATTCAGATTTGAAGACAGGTACCTTGCTTGCTCAATTTATTGTTTATCATGTTTACGTCAAATCTTCGCAGTAGCTGTTTCTTCTGCCACTGGGGAAGGGATGGAGGAGTTCATGAATGTTGTTGGAGAATGTGTGGAACAATACAGAAATGAGTATGTACCCATGTATGAGCGCATACTAAAGGAGAAATCGAAAGTAGATGAACAAGAAAGAAAAAGGAAGACGGAGGAGGCATGCTTACAATTCAATTAATCAGCATTTTATAACTTACTTGATTCACAGATTTCATCGGAAATGGAAGTTCTTAGTTTACACCCAACCGTAGAGCCTATGATCCAAGAACGAATTCATATAGGAGGTGTGGAAGAAGAAAACACTGAGGATGCGAGCATACTCCGTGGGTGACCGGTGTCAATTTTGTTCCAACTCTTGTATGATGTCCTCACGATTTCGTAAATTTTCTGTGACATAGTCAAGGCTTTGAAAATTCAGTCTGCCAAGGCTGTTCGTTTACATCGACTTCACGACTGTGTAATGCTAATATATTAATTTTCTCAAGTTGGTTTGTTGTCAGTTGTTATTGTTGCCCAGATTAAACAAATATAGAAGCTTTTCGTGAAGTTTTATTACCGATTTTGATCCGTACATGCTATACTAGTATCAGTACCAGAATACACAAGCGATTTGAATGATTATTTAGCTGTCGAAACGTTTGGTACATGGGCGATAAAACCTTTCATAAGGTGAGAGTTTTTGTGATTTTCTTCTGAGTTGTTTTCTTCCCTTTGTGTCATTCACTTTCAAATAGTTATGGTATCTGCTTGGTAAATAAAGCAAATGACTTAAGATTTTTCATCGTCGAATTTGGTGCGTTCTTTTGCTTTCAGGCTTCGGTCTTACTAGGACAAGCGGATATTGCACCGACTATAGTTGAAGCAGTGCAGTTTCACGGGATAAGGATCACAAAAAATGACGCTTTAGTCAAAGAGGTTTAGTTAGCTTTATGGAATCTTTTAAGTGCTGTAGTGAAGAGGAGTCGTGTCAAGTCGTGCTATGTCATGGTTCACTATTGGATTCTGGATTGTTGTCAATTTGTTTCAGGTGTCGGAGCTGTATCGCAGCGCAACTCTCGATGAACTCGTTCATAATTCACACCTGGCCGCTAAACACTTACAGGTTGGCGAAGTTGCCGTTGTTAGCGTTAATCAATTTCGCGTCAGCCTTTTCACAGGAAGTTGGTTTGATGGAAAATGCTGTTCCTTTGATTGACACAACGCCTTCTAATAATGGCTATATCGTCAATTTTGTGGTGAAAGAGCCAAAGGCAAATGATGTTTTCTTCTCTTCAGCTTTAGGTCTAGCTACTCAATTTAGGCCTTCACCTTAGGCTTGAAGGCTGGCATCAGCACAAATGGTGACGCTGACATGTCACTGAATGCTGGGAAACAAAGTGTTTGCGGTCGTGGTGAAGCTGTCAACACCAGTTATACCTACACGGTTAAGGTTTATAACAATTTCTGTATAAAATACACTTGCTGTTTCTATCTCCGTTTAGGGTGATCATAGTTTCAATATCGCCTTCTCAAAACCTTTCCTAGGTTGGCAGAAATATTCCAATGTTTCGGCCAGTTTGTTTAGGCAAGTTGCTCCTGCAGATAAACTTGTTAGCATGCCTGCTACTTTTTTCTTAGAGCGATCTCTTATCTGCCTTGGAATCACTCTAACTGTGAGGAAAATGCGATCATACTCGGATATAATGGCCAGATCACCAGGAGGATCCTTCATCAGATTAAGTTCAATACTGTGAGTGTTTAAAGAACACCGGTCGACGATATTAGTGCTCTCATCAGATGTGGCGAACGCTGCGTGCTACTGAAGATTCAGCATTTTCTGTTCGTGAGCATGCCGGTCACACAATGAAGTTCTCCGTGGAAAATGCATTAGCTTTTGATACCAGAGATAGGCCAATTTTAGCTTCCAAGGGAATATTGGGTTAGTTCCATCATACCGCACTTTTCGTGTAGTGCTCAGTTGTTGTTGATTATACTTAAGACATGCTTCACGACATTTGATTTGCGACAGTGATTAGTAACCTCTGTTTCCCAACTTTCAGCGCGAGTAACGCAGGAGTATGCTGGTCCGTTCGGCGATTCCTCATACATTAGGCATCAAGTTGATTTACAGGTTAGTCTGATAATTGAATGTTTGTATACTTCTTTCATGCCAAGAAGATGAAACATAACACCACATACACAATGGCCAAGAAAAACGGAACGTCTCGTAACTTTCATCCATAAAGCAGGAGTTCATTAGCAAGAAAGAACACAAGTTCAAATTTGCCCATAATGTGGGCGGACTTACATTTCACAACATCATTTCAGAGAGGCCGCTTAGATCTGTTCTCATAGCTTGATAAGCGTTATATTTTCATTTTTAGTAGGTCTTTTGATTCTCCTCGAAAACGCGAAGCAGTGCTTGTCTACTGAGGCCGGCATGTACTTACTCAGACACTCGCACGGCTGGCGGCCTTTCCATGGCCGGCTGGTCCGTCGCCGACATTTCTGCCGGAACGGCCGCCAGCCGGCCGCCAGCCAGCACTCGAACGGCCGCCAGCGGGTACCCGTACGGCCGCCCGGTATGCGTCAGTGACGCAGCGAAATGGCACGGGGCCATTAATATTTCTTTCCCTAAATTCTGGCTTTCAGCACTGAAATCTCAATACAGGGTGGTAGAATTTACATCTTTCTCTAGATTCTGGCTTTCAGCACTGAAATCTCAATACAGGGTGGTAGGATTTACATGGATATATTTATTATCTAATCTATCTTCTAATATATAAAGAATCGTAAGCGCAATCAAAAATGTGCACATAGCGGGAAACCACGTGGCGGTCCCGTAGCGCGCGCATGCTACTAGCACCTTCAATTGCTGGTTCACTAGTAACACTATACAATACGAAGAAACATTGAAAAGAATGTCACACAGATCCACGAAGAATACATTTGACTACAAAGCTAGCAACTTTTTATCTATAAGGAAAGATCATTTGAAGCAGTAAGTTCACACATCGTCCGACAAGCGTTCCGAATGCACCGGCGGGTCACAGAATGTCCTAGTTCTTTACTTCTAACGTACACGTAAGCAATAACAAGCTGCATTCGATGACCTGTAAGTGAAACAAACTATTGCCAGTTTTTAAATGACGTGACTAGGAGACGCCTGACCGCAATGCGGACGTTGTATCAACACGTTTGAGTTTGAATGAGATTAATGACAAGTGTATACCTGCTAGGTAAACGACTGAGCTTGTTTAGACAATGCGTGCAATGCGGTCTCGCGTCTTCTAGATAGAATGAATGATACATGCATGCACAGAGTTGCACAGAGTTTGTTAGTAGAGCAATACCAAAAAAATAAGCATTACAGTAGACGGTTAGAATAGATGATTGTCTCATCTGGAAAAGCAACGCTATTTTTACAGAATATCCAAGAAAAAGCTTACAACTTCTGGCAACTTTTGCAGTGGGTCCAGCAGCCGTGACCATAAGATTAGCAGAAATGCGGTAGGATATCAGATAGCTTTCCGAACCGTAAATTTTATCAGCATAGTAGCAAATGCCAGATGAACGGTATCCAAATGAATTTTAGAATACCCAGCTGTCAAGTCGAACGAGCTAATTACTCTCGGGACTTGACCTCCACCCTGTTGTATTGCATCTTAACAGAAGAATTCTTGACTAGATGATTTTATCATTATAACATGTATATCAAAAGGGGGACATAATTGAGGAAGGGACCACCGAGCACCCGGGAGGTGCCAGCTCATCTCGAGATTCTGGGCACCTCCCAGTTCGTGGGGACTGCCGAACCATCTAATTAGTCTGCGTCTCGACATGTCCATTCCATAGCAAAGCTCGTCCCAAGCTTTCATTTTCGACTATGGCTCGGGAAGAGGAAAAGAAACCGTCGTAGCTTTTGATCATCTCGGAATCTGCACGGTTGACCGTTTGACCATCATCATCATTACCATCGTCATTTCGACATCAACCATCATCACTGATCGATTTCTGGCTTATAGTGGTGTCATCATCGATTGAATTCTGGTCTGCTTGATTTGATTGCTCGCGTATTGATCATCATTGCTCGAATATTGATCCTTCTTAGAAAGTCGAAGGGATACCTCCGGAGGGCACATGGTGTGAAATGGCAGGGCTCCGGAGTGCGAAGTGGCAGTTCTCCGTTGGGGAAAGCCCGCGACCCTGCCACTTCTGCTCCGGAGGTATTCCATCGACTGTCTGAGTCATTATACCATTCATCTCATCGAGAACCATGCATCTTTTCGTGTTTGCTTTCATCGTGGGGTAATTGGACTTCATTGCTGTGTTGCATCTGCTGGATTGCGTCTTCACGTTGCATCGAGGAGTAGCCGGTAAGAGACAAGGTAAACAGAAGGGCGAAGCGCACGCTTCAGTACGTCCCGTCATTAAAGTAAAGCTCGTCCTCGAGCGGAAGACATATGAATTTCATTGCAGAGTGGGATAGTTATTCAAAACGGAGTTGAATAAGAGAATCTCTTTTATGGGGGGGGGGACATGAAGAAGGGATGAAATCACACAAAATAAAGTGGTATAAACATTACAACAAGTATTGAACGAAAAGATAGAATATGTAGTTCTATGTTCTCGCTACTGACAAATATCAACATAAATGCATCGGTATCTCACAACATTTGTTTATCGAGTTCACAACTCGAGAGGAAACAATTTCCTAGCGTTGCTCACAAGGGCGTAAAGGAAAAGTAAATGTTTGAAAGCGTTCTTTGACTCGCCAATCGAAGAATTCTTTCTTTTTATAGTGCTTATGCTTGCGGCAAACTTACTTCGTACCAGTAGCCGCTGCGTTAATGAAATTTTGTGAGGTTGCTAGTGGCACTTTTCACTCATTACGAGGGAGACCAATCCATTCCTTGTTTCGGACGCTCTGAACGTGAGATTAGGCTTACTAGAACGTGGAGTCTCTGCCTCTGTGTGACTAATTGTGGTTGCACAGAGACTTCACGCCCCTGTGGCCTGCTGTAATACAATTTGAGTCTGTTCACATGCACCGTTTGTGACTTATTGTTGAATAGACTTTTTATGGTGACATTGGGACGGCACATGGAGACAATCACAAATGGGCCTTTCCATTGGAGCGAAAATTTGGGACGCACTGTCTCGTCATGCAACAATACCAGATCCCCAATGGAAAGGTCCTTACTGTATACATTCTTCGGGTAATCGTAACCAGCTTTGTAGTCATTTGTTTTCGCTGCTATGTTGGATCCCACTTCCACAATCGTAGTCTGCAAGGCTGTCGCGAACGGGAGACGGCCCTTCTGAACCCATCGTCCCCTACAGTAATCTAGAACTAGGGCGCGCGCGCATGCGCTGTGATGACCGCGGACGAGTGCTCCGCGAAGGGCTCGTATTTTCGAAAATCACCAACCCCTTTCGTGTGGCTCTTGCATTATGGAATGCAAGCCAGTCACGCTGTATTCAACCAAACACAGTACCATCCTCTGAATGTTTGGTATTCTGAGCCCTACTTCCCAGCAGGTACGTTTATGATTTATGGGAATTCGAAGTCTTTTCATTTCCATGATCCATAAAAAAACTTCTCATGAATCTCCTTTCGAACTCTGTTTTTTTTGCGTTTTTTCCACTTATATCCCTTGTGTGTGCGATCCTTATAACGTCGTGCATCGTCACATCATATTGCTAGTGTGAGCTGCTTGATGTTATTGAGGAAAGCCCACGTAATCAAAGTTTGTGTAACAACTCTTTATAAAAGCCAATTATAACTCAAATCGGTGATCTACGCTAATTCGTTATCAAATGCGTATTTCCTTCTGATATTTGAGTACAACTCTGTAGGTTTCCAAGAAATTTATCACATCTCCTTGAATTTCTCATTCTTAGTAAAATTTACGAACGTGCATTTGAAATTTTTACGCTATAAAAAGCATGATGCGTGCAGCAAAGAAAAGGTGCTACCAAAATCAATCCATGTAGATCACGCTACCAAATGAAGGTAATGCATTTTTATTTGATTGCGTTTTTGATATGGACGGTGTAAAAAAAACTTCATACTCATTATAAAAAACGTGTGCTTCCTTACTGGTATGCATGTAGTGCACATTTCAATTGAATGTGACTAGATGATGCTGCAAGGAGGCAGACGTAGGAGAGTAGAGTATGCAATCGAACTAAAAAAGCAGTAAAATAAGTCGAAAAAGACATTGACAATGTCTCATAGGTCAAAAACATACCACCTTAGAAAGTGGCCGGCGGTTTAAGTAGTGTGGAGTAGAGCGAATAACTTAAGTTATTGAATTCTGGGGAATTTGGGGAATTTGGGAATTTTCTAGAGAATTACCTCCAGAATTCATTGTGGATAGGTCAGCCATGTGAAACTCGTCCGCCTCCGCAGCGCGTCTGCCCAAGTCAGCCGCTCGCTCCCGCGAGCTAGCCAATCATGGAATGACCCCTAATTAGCGCTGACCTCTTATAGCCGTCGCGATTGGGGCAGGTTCAGAAGGGCCTACACCCTCGCAACTGGCCTGCGAAATTATCTGTGGCAAAAGTAAGATTATAAGGTAATTTGTGAACAAGTCCATCCATGTGACCGGATGTCTGCCATGTATCACAAAGAACGGACTGTACCCTGTTGTGTCGTTTTTGCTACAATTGTAGACAAAAGACTGCAATAGACTGTGAGAGAATCCGTGACAACTTTTACCATTCTTTAAACTTGGCCGATCGTCTTGTGGTCATAGCTTGTGGTAAAGTTGTTCTCAATTTCCAGGGTTTTGTTAACTTGAGTGAAAATTTCGCTCACATAGTTTGATCTTTGGGGTTCCCGTGCTTGGAGACCACATCGTTGATTAGCGCTTTTACTATAAGATCCGCCGTTTGATTTACTAAAGGCGTACAGATAATGTATTTACTGAAAGCGCGACCGTTATAGCTATGAATCTGCTACCATCAACACATCGTGGCAATGGTCCTATTACATCAATGTGGATACGTTCAAAAGGACGCTGAGGAATGGAAAAGCTCCCAGTTCCTCGCAAATGATATTTCCTGCTGGTGTTTTCACCTTTTGACAGGCTGCGCAAGATCTAACGTAAATCGCCACATCCTGAT